GCGGCCCGGCCCAACCCAGGCGGGGTGAGGGAGGGGGGTGAGAAGGGGGACGGGCGGAGACTCCATTCCCTCAAACGCTCCGCCCTTCCCGGAAGCGTCGGAAGGAGCTGAGCTGCCATTGGCGCGCGCGCTCACAGCCAGCTGCGGTGATTGGGTAGCACCTGTAGGACATTGTCTCCGTCCCAGTCCTCCCCCCGGCGCCAGCTCGGAGTGGTGCGAGCCCCCATTGGCTCGGCGCCTGCGCCAAACGCTGACTCCGCCCCCTCCCCGACTTGTTTGTAAACATTCTCTCCCGCCCCGAGGGGGCGGGCGCTCGGTTGCCCCTAGCGACGAGGAGACGGCGCTGACTGGCCCCTCCGGGCTCTCAGTCATTCCGGGCTGGGCCAGAGGGGGAGAGGATTGCCCGGGGCAGGTCCTGTGCGCCGGGCTCGGTCTGCAGGGGGCCGTGGCCGGGCTGCACGAGTGCAGCGGGAGCGACTGCGGGACCAGCCCAGGCTGTCCTGGCTTGTGTCCCGCTTCCCCCCAGTACAGGGGCGCGGGCTGCGGCACCTCGGGATGCGCCTCGCCGCTCTCCCGCCTGTGACCACACTGGTGCGCGGGGAGGGGCGCGGCGATGAAGTCCTGGGGGCAGAGAAACGGGTTAAAATCCCGGTTTGAAGACAGTGGGGCAGTACAACTGCACCGTGGGTGGTACCCACTCATGAGGATGCAGGTGTCGGAAAATCAAGTCCGAAGTTGAGGGTTGGCAAGAGTGTCTCAGCTTTAATTTCTAGGAAAACATGCGTTTCTGGTCCTTGATATAAAGAAGAGCTCGAAAGCGTGAAGCACTATCCCCTGCAGGCTAGAAAACTAGAAAGCAAACGACAAGGACAAAATGTATCATTGAAAAAATATCTCATGACTTGTTAGCCAGCTTCATGCTTTAGAGGGGACTGATATATTTGAGGCGCCATAGGCATGGACTTTTAATTTTGCTGGGGGGGTAAAATTATGGCCCCCCCCACCACAGCACAGCTGGAGTGGGTGGGGCTGGATGCGGGCTGCCTGCTGCTGCCCTCCTCTGGGGAAGCTCCAGGCTGGCCACACAGCCATGGCGAGGCACCCCGTAACTGCCCAGCAGCAGCGAGGATGGTGCTGCAGGCTTGTGCCACTTGCTGCTGCCAGGTGGGCGGTGGGTAACCATGGCAGTACAGCCAGCGTGGAGCTTCCCCAGGGAAGGGCATCAGGGTAGGGAGATCCAAGACTGCAGCAGGCAGCCCTCGTCTGCCCCTACACCGTGCATAAATCTGGGGAGCAGGTGTCCACCCATGCTCCCCTCTGGGAATGTACACAGCAGCAGGGAGCTGCCCCCCACACCCCTCTTGAGGAGCCACCTGTGGGTCTCTCCTGGGCCCCATGCACCCAGCCCTGGCTGTTCAGTGCCCCCTGGCGCAGCCTCTGCCCCACCCCCTCACTGTGGGGGCCTCAGTCTGCACCCCTCCCCATTGACTTACCCATAGGCAGCTGAAAGAGCTGCTCTCCACCACTGCCTAGGGCTGTATTCCTGGCCACATGCATCTGTGCACAGGGCAGCACACATGCACATGGTGCCCCCTGCATCCTGCTCACCACAGCCCCTTGCAGGCTGGAACTCTTCCAGCTGGAAGGGGAAACCCACCATTTCCTGTGTTTTTCCACAGTGAATGGAAAACCTGGATCCCTGCATGATACTGGGAATCTGGGACAAATGCTGTCCCAGAGTCATGCAGCCCAGGACCAGGACTTGATGTTCCCATTTCGAGACTGTCCTGCCCAATTAGGGATGAGTAGTCAGCCTATGCTCCTTCCCACCAGAGCCCACGGCCCTTGGGCCTCCACACTCTTGGCACCAATGAGTAGCTGGGTTTGGCAATCCTGACAAAACTACACCTCTGCTACATTCAGAGACCTGAGGAGAAACATCTTACATTTGAAAGCTTCTCTAACTTTATCCCAACTACACAATTGATCCAATAAAAGATACCACTTTAAGAAATCCTTGCCCCTCATTATTTCTGGACAATCACAGCTACAACATCACTCTTACATTGCCTCAAAACAGAGACATTTTACTAAACCAGTATTGGTTACATTACATAGTATAGATCTGCCCACATGCTGGGACTTTCATTTTCAGTAAGCAGCACCTCCCACTAAAAACAGCAGCAGGTCCATTCTGCCAAGTTTTACGCAAAGTAAGGGCCACCCCCAGATTCCTAGGAAGTTGTCAGTACAGGCCTCCTTGGGGAAGCTGTTTGAATACCCCTGTTTAGGAGAAGCAAGGTGGGATGAAGTGATGTGTAAGTGTATATCTTAAAGTGTATGTCTTTGCATTACTTATTTGCATAAACACTTAATCTTGAAGGAGAAAGAGAAACTAAGAAGAGTATGGGCTAGGAAGGCATTCGGGTGGCCCTATGTAAAGGGTAGACAACTTCCCGGTTGCATTTACTGAGAAACGCTGATCATGTTAAAGAGCATTAGATTCTTCTCTGGAGAGTAAAAAGTAAACAGTCTTAGTGATAAAAGAGAAATACAAAGGTTGCATTTACTTGAAAATAAAAACAACCATTGTAATATAGGAAAGGCCAAAATAAAAGTGAGGCTTGTTTATACAATAAGGTTCTGTTTGTTATCAGGCTTTTAACTATATTAGTGATTCTTCTGAAATACAATATCTACAGATAACTTTGGCTGCTTGCAGGCAAAAAACAGTGCTTTACTTTAAACTTGGTCTATTCCTGCATCAAGCTCCCCGCATGCATGCCCAGATGAGGCAGCACCTTAGTTGGACCCAGTTCACCTGGTGTCTGTAAAGATCAAGCACTTTAGTGGGGCTTTTTTGGCACTTTTACCTAATAGCTGATTGAATAAGCTTTAGTGTAAAGCACCAAAAAGCACCACTAAAGTGCCCAATCTGTAGACACTCTGGGGCCCAGTCGAAGTAATACACTGCTGCTTCTGATAAAGCATGCTTTTTTTTTTTACCGTCTGTGCGTCCACTTATGCTTTAGCAACTGCTCTTGAGCAGCTTGGGGCCAGGTGGTCCTTGCTCGGGCCCTGTCTCTCCAGCACCAATGTCCATCGTGCGCTGCCTCCTAAGGGAAGCTGCTGTTGTTCAACTGCCATGTCTTGTTCTTGAGTTCAGATGCGAGAGGTTCCCATTAGATTCAGACTTGCTTGGAGGCGTTGTGTACAGATGTCCTTGGGGCTCTGCCTCCCCTACGTCCCTTCCATGCACCAACTTGGTGGTCTCTGCCATGTAGCTGATGACTCCAGCTCTTCTAAACACTTACATGCAGTGTCACCCCCCAATCGGGTCTCTAGTAGGTTCCTACTGGGTTGTTCTGCAGGTGTAGCATCCATGGGCATGCTGGCAGCTGGTTGGTCACTCTCTCTGCTGTACTTGGCCTGCAAAAGGCTCAAAGGACATGAGAAAATGGTCTTGCTCCCTATGACCATTTCCCTGGGTTGGCAAGCCAGCTGGCCTGGAAAAACAGTCTTCCATCCTGGAGTCCCCGACGGCTTCTGGTCCCTTGGCCCTGGTGAGGGTACCAAGCAAATGTGGCCTGTATCTCTGGCCCAAGGAGTAATGCACAAATAAACAAGAAAAAGAAAAAACAATTAGGAGGCAGTGATTTCTTCTACTCATGCCTCCCTGCAGACTGCAGGGCCATCAGCCCCTGGGCTTTCTCCTCTTCCCCGGTACTGAGCATCGCTCCCCAGCAGGACAGAATCCTTTTCGGGACCATCCTTGTCAACCCCGATCTGTAGCACAGCCAAATGTGCTGGCCAGGAGTGCACAACTGTAGCACGACTATTGCTCCCTGTCTTTCCCTCTGCAGCTAGCTTTTGTAGCTGACTGCCAGTGCTGGTCACGACTCTTTTGGTTTTCCCAGGTCATGGCTCTTTTGGGGCCATCTCCCCAGGTCCTCAGGCTTTTCCCCATCGCCTTTCTGCCCCCAGGGCAGCAGTCTCCAGCTCTTTGGGCTTGTTGTTCTGCGACAGTCTTCAGGGTGCATGTGTCTTTAGTGGAGAGAGTTCATTAAAAAGGGATATTGTTAACTTTGTATGGGGTGAAGACAGAAGTGACAGTTTTCACCCAGTTTGGCCACAAAGCAGTCCATAGCTGTGACCAAACACAAGTGCACGGCTGCAGATTGCTTTGATTGGGTGAAAATCTGAACCCTCATTGCACGAGGGGTCAGATGAAGAATGTCTTCTGTAACTTGAGGTTGCCTGCCTCCTAGCCTTGTTGCTGTTTTCAGAATGGGAAGGAAAAGGAGCGGAGGGAGTTTGATCTGGGGGGTTTTTAGCCCCTGCTGGAGGGTGGAGCTGTTGCTAGGGGAAACCAGCTGCTGGTTGGCAGCCAGCAGCTAGATTCCCCTCCCCCTGGAACCAACAGTGAACTTCTGTTTGCTCCTAACTCAGAAGGCTGCCTGCAAAGCATTCTCAGTTGCAGCAGGGAGCTACACTTCTGTGTGCACCCCAAATTATATAAATTTGTGCCTTTTCAGACTGAGGGAAGACAGTGTTAGCATGAAATCGGTTTTAGTTAATTTTCAAGGAAATGTGCAGTATCCTAAATCATGGTGGGCCTTCTACCTTACTTAAGTCCCCAAGGTTTTTATCATTTTAGAAGCAATATACCACCTGTATATTGTATACAATGTAGGAAGCCACCTATGTTTTTCTCTGATC